ATTAGAGTGGAGTGGGCAGGAAAAAAAACTTGTTTCAATAGCAGAGACCTCCTAAAGTAAATGGCACTGATGCAATGTCAACACTGCCCACTAGTAGCCAGTCAGGTAGACAGCATCCTGGGAAGACTAGTCTCCACCTGATGATCCTTCCACAAAGGACTTTCCAGATCTCCTTTTATATTTCTTCTATTGAATGATGGTGCTTCCTTATAAATGCAACTACAAATTAGGTCAACTCTCACAGCAGAAATTATGTTGTATTCCCTAGTACTAATCTGGAATACATGACATGAGTCCCAGTTTTCCCTCTTACACCTATACTGTAATTGGCCCATACAGGAGATGGTAAAAGATTCACTGAATTAGCCAACATGGTACGGAGATAATCCAAAAACTGACTGGCTGCACTCCATTTATGTCACCACAGTAAGAACTTTATTGTAACATCTTTCTAATGGTCATCTGCTATTGATGCTGCATTGCCCTTATGCGTTTCACCCAAAAACAGGGTTAAACATCAAGTTCACCTTTTGGAGCATGTTACACCCATATTCGAGACAACATGCTCCAGCACCCCCTAATCCCACACCCATGTGACAGTAGGTGGGGATTCCTCTCCACCACACAGCTACATCATTCATTCACAGCTATCTGTCAAGATGGAAGACGGGACTTAGTTTCTTCATTCACAGACACCTTGTAGTTCTCAATGAACTATGTGACTACTGATGAGCACCCTCAGTTCATTAAACACTTCCTCCAGCTTAATAACAGCCTGTACAGAGGTACAAGCAGGAAATCTTGAGTTTCTGCAGGAGCCTGACACTGATTGTGAGTGCAATGCTTTGCAGATTCCCTGGGGCAAAAATAATTGCATATTTGTTTTCAGCAACAAATACAGTGAAGGAAAGAAGTATTTGATCCCCTGTTGATTTGAATGTTTGCCCACTCACAAAGAAATGATCAGTCTAAAAATCGAATGGTAGGTGTATTGTAACACTGAGAGACAGAATAGCAACAAAGAATTCAAAAGAAATGCATGTCTAACAAATTATGCACTGATTTGCGTGTTCATGAGGGAAATAAGTATTTGATCCCCTTCACAAAACATGACTTAGTACTTGGTGGCAAATCCCTTGTTGGCAACCACAGAGGTCAGATGTTTCCTGTAGTTGGCTACCAGGTTTGCACATATCTCAGGAAGGATTTTGGCCCACTACTCTTGGCAGATCCTCTCCAAGTCATTAAGGTTTGGTGGCTGACGTTTGGCAACTCAAACTTTCAGCTCCCTCTACAGATTTTCAATGGGATTAAGGTCTGGAGACTGGCTAGGCCACTCCAGTACCTTAATGTGCTTCTTCTTGAGCTACTCCTTTGTTGCTTTGGCCGTGTGTTTTGGGTCATTGTCATACTGGAGCACCCATATACGACCCATTTTCAATGCCCTGGCTGAGGGAAGAAGGTTCTCACCCAAGATTTGACTGTACATTGCCCCGTTCATTGTCCCTTCATGTCCTGTCCCCTTAGCAGAAAAACACCCTCAAAGCAGAATGTTTCCACCACCATGTTTGACAGTAGGGATGGTGTTCTTGGGGTCATAGGCAGCATTCCTCCTCCAAACATGGCGATGTGAGTTGATGCCAAAGAGATCGATTTTGGTCTCATCTGACCACAACACTTTCAACCAGTCCTTCTCTGCATCATTCAGATGTTCAGTGGCAAACTTCAGACAGGCCTGGACATGTGCTTTCCTGAGCAGAGGGACCTTGCGGGCACTGCAGGATTTCAATCCTTGTCGGCGTAGTGTGTTACCAATTGTTTTCTTGGTGACTGTGGTCCCAGCTGCCTGGAGATCATTGACAAGATCCTCATGTGTAGTTCTGGGATGATTCCTCACTGTTCTCATGATCATTGACACTCCATGAGGTAAGATCTTGCATGGTGCACCAGACCTAGGGAGACTGACAGTTGTTTTGTATTTCTTCCATTTGCAAATGATTGCACCAACTGTTGACACCTTCTCACCAAGCTGCTTGGCGATAGTTTGGTAGCCCAGTCCAGCCTTGTGTAGGTCTACAATCTTGTCACTGACATCCCTGGACAGCTCTTTGGTCTTTGCCATGGTGGAGAGTTTGGAATCTGATTGTTTGATTGCTCCTGTGGACAGGTGTCTTTTATACAAGTAACAAAATGAAATTAGCAGTGTCACGATCGTGGCATCAGACCCCAGACCTTCTCACCAAACTCGTGACCAAAGGGCTAACCGATCTATAACCGCGATGTGACGTGCGTAACAATGCCACACCCAGCTGCACCCTGCAAAACGATTTTCCAGCTAATGGGTACCGATCGATGTGCCAGCAGCCCGATTCGATTGTTACTGGGTCAGGTTAATTACGCATTTAACCTCTTCACACTGCCACCACCTCCTTTTGGTTCAGAGAAAGAGGAAACTCGCAATATCGCTATAACACTATAATAATTGAAATAATCGTCCGCATAACCCAGTCATTGACATAGGCCAGTTATACAGAGAGTTAAACCAACAGTAGCGTCTCTTTAAAGGCAGAAATTCGTAAATTGCAATTAAGAGTTATAGAAACAGTTCAACACTTTCAGAAGAAAGATTTATTACTAAAAGGGTCAAACAGGTGCAGTAAAAATATTTACAGAGAAGATGTAACTAAGATATATATATATATATATATATATATATACATACATAGAAAACAGCACAGCAAAGAGATAACAGGGAGAAGTTAAAGGGTTAAGTTACTTGTCATTAAGCCTTGGATGGAAGCAGATCATGTTTCAGAGTGAAAGGTCTCCCCAGGTGGTATATTGATGTTAAGAATGGGAGATGTCTAACTTAAACTTCCTTAGGCTTGGCAGCCTGTTTTAAAGTTTCCCAGCAGGGGGTGGTTCTGAAGTGAAAGACCAATCCCGTTTAGGTAGGGATCATCAGGCGGAACCCTAAACTGGAACCAACATCTTTCAGAATTCATATTCTGGTCTATAACTTTCCATCTGCACAAGCGACAGTCCTCCTGCGGGTATATTATTATGCAGACAAGTCTGAGGATTATTTAGTTATGAATTATTAAATTATATATTGCACGGTTCATGAGTTCTATGTTTCGGCTCCCCTGATGGTCCGAGATAAGCGAGTGACCCGTCAAACTGTTCGCCTTCTCATTGGCCATCTGACGAGGTGTCAGGTTTTTATGTAAGTCTCTCATGTTCCAAGATATGAGACATAGAGGAGAAATTGATTTGAGAAGTGTTCATCTAATTCTGTCACCTACGCTGAGCTAGGTTTATTAGCTCAGAGTCCCTTCAACTCCTGGGAAGGCTCGTTATCTTATTACGAGTTGTGAAATTACACAGGTACTTTGGCCAGTGAGACTCCAGCCCTCTTGGGAAAACTGGTCCTATCTCTTCCTAGGTGAGAAAGGATACAGCTTTCACAGACAGCTCAGCACCAGCTAGAAATGCCTTGCCCGGCCAGTGACCCATAAACAGTACACATACACGCACTGGCCAGATGTCTCCTCTCAGTGAGAGGGAGGTGTGGAAAGATGAGGGGAGAAAATGGAGATGCCTAACAAAATGGTTGAACCGCGTCCATCTCTGAGGCGCACGTTGCAACAAGCAGCACTCCCTTTAAGAGACTGCTTCTAATCTCAGCTTGTTACCTGTATGAAAGACACCTGGTAGCCAGAAATCCGGCTGAATGATAGGGGATCAAATACTTATTTCCCTAATGAACATGCAAATCAGTGCATAATTTGTTAGACATGCATTTCTTTTGAATTTTTTGTCGCTATTCTGTCTCTCAGTGTTACAATACACCTACCATTCGATTTATAGACTGATTATTTCTTTGTGAGTGGGCAAACATTCAAAATCAGCAGAGGATCAAATACTTATTTCCTTCACTGTATGTGCATTTATTTTTTCCCCAAAGCCTTTAATCGCAGAGTTGTATACAATTAAGCCTGTTTTGAGTGCAATGTGTCAGCACAAAAGGGGGAATCTCTAGCAGATGACAACTAGCAAGTTGGCATGATAAAGTTCTTAGTGCAGTGACCTAGCTGAAGTTGCAGCCTGTCAGTTCATGCAAGGAGTAGGCACAGGAACAAATACAAGCATTTGAAGTCAGATTTCAGCCTGGCAGGGAGCACAAGTGCATTTTTAGAGCAGTGGTTTTTTTTTATTTTCTATTAACTATGGTAATGAGCTTCTAATATTCTGAAACTGATGCGCAGCTATGATATTGTATGTCACAGAACTCTTAGCAAAGCTTTGTAAAAGATGACCAGTGGACTCAAATTAGGCACAGCCAACAGCAGTGGTGACATGAGGAAAGAAGCACCTGTGAAATGTTATCCAAATTGAAGCGATGTTCACTAATAATGTGCAAATAAAATAAGTATTTGCTTTTCACGATTGGATAAATGAAATTAAAACTTTGCTCAATTCATAGAGGGAATATTTTCAACTCTATCTGTAAATGGGCCGTGTTAAGGTAGAAGAAAGCAATAAGGCATATAAAATGATCTGTGTATTGTTTTACATTGCCAAAATATGAAAACAGAAAAAAATTACATGAATCCATTTAATAAGTATGCAGCAGTTCTTTAATATTGTTCTGTAAATGGCAGAATAGCTGCACACACTGAAAGAACCCAGATCAAGTATGTATCGTAAATCAGGACACAAGAACCTCTCTGAATTCTGTTTTGCATACTGTTCCTCTAAAAGTAACAAAGATAGATGACCACCTGATTTTCAGAAAGCAGCCAGCATTGACTGCCCTCACTTCTGTCAGTACAGGTTTCCATTCATTTCAATGGCCACAGTTCCCACTGGTTTCTCCATGACAACAAGCTGGTTTCTATGAACCATCTGCACCTGAGTTTTAAAGGGATAGTACAAGCACCTCCTGACATGAAAAGTCTGTTCAGATAAAATTCCAGAAAATCAATGCACTAAACAGCTCATTCATTCTTCTGAAGTCCGAATGTGAAGTCTGATGGTAAAGTCTCTAGTGTTATCTGCAATAACTGATCATCATGTGATCGCAAAGTCCACAATTTCTCCAATTCGTAGGTCGCTCTAATTTCTGGCAGCATAAAGTGAACCACAATTTCACCTGAGAAAAAGAGAAAAAAGTAGGAAGTCAAATGACTTGGGACAGAGGTTTGAGCACAGTGGCTTACTGATTACAGGAATGAGCAAAGCACCATAGCCTCCTACCAATCATATCATGTTTCTGACTGATGTACACAAAATGTAAATCTGATCGGTTGGTAAGGGTTAAAAACACTTCTCACCACTGCTCTTATTTGCATAAACATTAAAAGTTCTGAACAGTCACCTTACTTATTATGAATACATGTTGCAGTAAGGTATTTACAATGTTCATATTTGCTTCACTGTGGGAAACTGAACAATCCAGTACAGATATTTACATTATGAAATCAAAGAACACTTACCAAAGTCTATACACATCCAGTCATCTGTGTCCTTTCCCTCTAGACAAACATGTGACTCAGTGTCTCTCTTCAAATACTTGTACTGAAAAAGAACACACCGAATTGTTTGTGACCAAGTTCTTCTATACAGTTCTTTGTCACTTATATACAAACCAGTCTGATAGTCAGAGGGCTGATAGGGAGGCTGAACATTGCTATAGTAGTTAAAGCGGCTCTAATGCCTCTGCAATATTCTCTGCATTAAAGTGTTACTAAACCCAGGACTTCGCATTCACTGTGTCTGGTCTCCCACAGTACACAGAACATGGGATTGCATGCAGTTATTTTTGTAAATATAAACTGCTAATTATCTTTTCTCATCAGAAGTATATAGCAGTCTTGTGACCTCTATCAGTATCCAGCTGAACACTGGTCAAAGCTTGTATGAGTTTTCATTTTTCTCTGACTGTCCTGTGAGGCTTCATGACCCCTAACACCCTGTCTGGACAGTGCTGATCACATGCACCTTCCCAAAAAAAAAAATAAAAAAACTAGCAATACACACTAAACTGAGCATGTACTACTAGAACAGATGGATTGGGGACAGTTAAAATAGAGGATCAGTGAAGACAGGATAAAACAGCCTTTTTACACAATGCGGATGATTTACCCCTTACGTTCCACTGTGAATATAATAAGCACGATTTACTGCATATACAGACTGATTTTACTGATGTGGGTTTGGTAACAACTTTAAGATTAAAAAAAAAACCTTCAGTATGCAGCTTCTCCCAGCCTCCCCTTATACTTACTTGAACCTGATCTCGGAGGCTCTCCCACCGGATAGGCTCAGACACAGCAGCAAGAGCCATTTGCTCACGCTGCTGTCAATCACAGCCAGTGAGGAGGAAGCAGGGGCAAGGCTGAGCCGTGCTACGGACACGCAGAGCTGGCTAGGAAGCGAGCATGCATGAATGCTTCTATAGCAAACTGCTTACTATGGGGTCACTCAGCAGGGGGAGGGGCCAGGAGAGCCAACAGGTGACCCGAGAATAGAAAGATCGAGGCTGCTCTTTGCAAAACCATTGCACAGAGCAGCTAAGTATAAACCAGTTTATTAAAAAAAAAAAACCCACACACAACAAACGTTTACAATCACTTCATGTCTACATACAGTGATAGCTGCAATTTTGTGCAGCCCCAGCGGCTTCCCCTCTGCATACTGAATACAAGGGATCATCACTAACTCAACACTGCTGTAATTTTGAGAACACTTTTTTTCCCCCCCAAAAAATACAGGTGTTCACTGACTGTACAAGGTGGAGATTGTGACGTTGAAGAGACTGTTCAGTCACTAGGTAATTTGAAATAAATTTTTGATCTGAAAGAGGTCATTATCACACTGGTATTGATCAATGTCTCTAACAGTTTGATACAAATAATCTGAAAGGATCACACAAAAAAAACCCGCACACTGCCACACAGATAGCAATTGTCTGTAGCAAATTTTAATAGGAGTGCAATGCTGACCCTGTCCTCCTCTACTTTAAACTTTTGCACTTTCTGAATCATAGGTAATAGAACATTAAAGATGCTTAGTTAAGTGCCTGAAAACAATATGTGCACACAACAATCACCTGTCAGGGGCAGAAAGGGTATTATACAGATCTTAAGGGTCCAGTCACACCACTGTGCTGCAAAAATGCACATATTACCAGGCATGTTACCACAATGCAAAGTAACGTGTGTTGTTGCAATGTGAAGCCATTTATTCTGAATGGCACCCCAAAGCCCTTCCCAGCACGCATGCAATGCATTGCAGCGGTGCACTGCCCAAAATATTGCATGCACAACTTTCAGTCCATTGTAGTACATTAGGCATCGCAGCAAACTGGTCCTTTACAGGTCGGCATCCTCATAGGCACATATCATGGAAAGTTTTTAATGCTACTGCTCATTTCAGGAGCATAAGGCTCTAGTGATCATCAGGTAAGTCCTCTTTATTGGCTTTATCTCAGAGATATGAAAGGGCTTATCTTGTAAGCCTAATGCACATAAGCATTATTCGTCTTAGGTTGTCAATGTAAGTCTAAAAAGCAACAAATTCTAAAGCTGGCCATAGATGGATAGAATTTTGAAGGAAAAGTCATAGAAAAATCTGTATGAAAATTTTCTGAATTTTCAAATGTTATTCAAAAGATTTTATTTAGTTTTAACATTGATTTCGGAATGAATGGACTTTACCAAAATAAAACCACATACACTGTTATGCAAGCCATAGACGAGTCAAAAAATTTAATTCGTGTTGATTCATTTTTCTCATTATTAGTGTGCCAGCTGCGACACACGATTTTCATGCTGCAATTGAAAGTGCCTGATCCAACATGCTGGATTATTTTTTTAGAAAATCAAAACAATTCATATTGTTCAGCTATTTTCGTTTTTTTTCGCCACGTCTATGACCTGCTTTAGAAATACGTTCTAAAACGTGTCGAATTAAGAGGAAATCCAAAGGGCATTGAAGAGGACAGTTGTTGGGAAGAGCCTGGGGCCTGACGGGTACACAGTGAGATACTACAAAAAATTGAATCAACTAGTCCCCAAATTGAGGATATACAGTATATGAAAGCATTAGGAGAAGGGACAGAGATGAGGGAGGAGTCATTGCAAGCATATATTACACTCATACTAAAAGAGGGGAAAGATGGGACCCAATGTGCTAGTTATCGGCCTAGCTCACTGTTAAATACAGATACTAAAATTATTCGCAAAAAGTCCTAGCAACTAGATTGAAAGATCTAATGCCATAGTGGATTCATTTGGATCAAGTGGGATTTGTCCACGGGAGGGAAGAGACAATGGGTTAAGGTCATTACTCCTTATACAGAAAAGAGAGAAAAAGCCAGTGTACTAGTCTTGTCAGTTAATGCAGAGAAAGCTTTTGATAGGGTAGATTGGGGCTTTATGTTAGACACGTTGGAGATCCTGGGAATTAGGCCCAAAATGAGAGCGTGGATAGGAAAGCTCTATAGTCAACCTTCAGCTGCAGTAAAGGTCAGTGGTTTGCCATCAGAGTTTTTCAGGATATATAATGGGACAAGAGTGTCTGCTTTCGCCTGTGTTGTTAGAGCCTCTCTTAGCAACAGTAAGAAACAGTATTGATATAAAAGGGGTCCGGATAAGGGAGATAGAACACAAAGTGGCAGCATATGCGGATGATATGCGGTTCTATGTGGCTAACCCTAGGTTAACATTACCTAATCTAATGAAAATAATGAAATATTATGAAGAGATGTCAAATCTAAAAATTAACCCAGTAAAATCAGAGATATTAAATATTAATGTCTCCATAATAGAAAAAAAAATTACAAAGAGAATTTGTCTTCTTATAGAGAGAAAAAAAATTAAAATACCTGGGGATCAAATTGACCTCGTCCTTAAAGAACTTATATAAAAATAAATTATATCCCACTAATAAACGAGATAAAGGAGGAACTGAGAAGATTATCAGTAGGACCATCTTCTTGGGTAGGATGAATAAACTTGATAAAAAAATCATCCCAAAAATCCTATATAAAATTCCTTATGTTGCCTATACAACTCCTGGGAGCCTATTTTAAAATAAATTAAAAAACTTAAATTGAGATATATTTGGGGAAATAAAAAAAACGAGAATAAGCTATGAAGTGCTATGTAGGGACAAGCATAAGGGGGTCTAAGTGTGCCTGATTTTAAGAGATATTATTATTCATTATTACTTTCACATATTTTTTGACTGGACATAAAATGCATTAAAAAAAAAACCGGGGTGAGCATAGAAAACACATTAAGTGGGACACAATTGCATAAGATAGTATGGATTCCACATCAATATTGTATATTAGAATAAGGTACAAGCACTTATACATGAAATTCAATTAGGGTATGGGATATGATTCATAAATAAATGGGTTGGGAGTTCAATTCTATGCTGATGCCGCTGGTAGACACAGATTTCTTCCCTCCAGGGAGAGAAAACATCTCAGGTAAATGGATAAGAAAAGTGAATGCACAGTTAAAGGACATAATGGATGGGGGGAAAATTTGCTCCTTTCAGGAGTAAAAAAAAAAAAAAAAAGAAAAGAAAAAGGAGTTCGTTTTCCTCGTTAAATTATTATTTTGGGTACTTATATAGTGCCGTCAATTTGCGCAGCGCTTTACATATATATTGTACATTCACATCAGTCCCTAGCCCTCAAGGGGCTTACAATCTAAGGTCCCTAACTCACATTCATACATACACATACTAGGGCCAATTTAGACAGGATCCAATTCACCTACCAGCATGTCTTTGGAGTGTGGGAGGAAACTGGAGTACCCGGAGGAAACCCACGTAGTCACAGGGAGAACATGCAAACTCCAGGCAGGTGGTTGAGTGGAGATTCCTCCAACTAAAACATTTTGTTATTTCGCTCCCTAAGCCCTTAAGACCAATCACGGATTTAAATATATTAAAACAACTTTTTAATACAAATAAAATATGGAAACATGGTACGTTCCTGGATTGATAAAATTCTTACAGAAATGATGGGGATTGCTCCACCTTTGAACATGGAGAAATGGGAAACGGAACTTGGAATAACATTCGGCAAGCAACAGAAAAAGAAAATATTTAGATTAGAACACGGAGCGGTAGACATGAGGGTGGTGGAAATGAATTATAAGTGTTTGGCTAGGTGGTATATTACACCAAGTGTGGCACATAAGCAACAAATAGATAAATCATCTTTTATGTTGGAGAGGATGTGGGATGAAAGGCACAATGGCACACATATGGTGGGAGTGTACCAAAATTCAGGAGTATTGGGGAGAAATAATTTATCTAATTCAGGAGATAAGGGGGGTTGAGGTCCCGAAAGATCCAGGCACATGCTTATTCCATAAAACTGAGACTACAGTAGAAAAATATAAGAACTCGTAGGCATTTCATCTGATGAATGTGGTAAAGGGGTTCATTACTTAAATTCTGGCAAGAGCAGGAAATACCAAAAAGAAAAAAAATTGGATAAGTAGGGTTGATTTTGTATACAAAATGGAGTAACTCTACCATCAGGAAGAAGATAGGATAGAGCGATTCAGAGAAAGGTGGGAGAAATGGGATAAGTTCAAAGAGCAATTTAAAGAAAAATAGAGAGAAAGAGAAAGAAGAAAGAAAGAAAGAAAGAGAAGAAAGAAAGAAAGAAAGAAAGAAAGAAAGAAGTGCCTTGAGAGAGGGAAAAAAAACAGGGAGTAGTATGGGGAAAAGGGGGTGGGAATGGGTGGGTGGGGTTTTTCTTAAGAATGAAGAGGTATAAGGGTATTGTGTATTGTTGAATATTTCTAAATTTTAATGGTGTAATGTGATATATTGAAAATTAATAAAATATTTATACAAATATGATTGGAAATATGATTAGAAAAACAAACATACTTTCTTAGAACATTCTTTTCCTAAGATTTCTCAATTTGAAATTCTACCCATCTATGGCAAAATGAAGGGATTTAAAAAGGTTTGAGCAGCTTTTTTGATACCTTTAGGTTTTTCTCAATTGGTGTTATAGACATTTGTGTTTCCCAAACAATTGCGAGCGTTTTTTGAACATATGTAACTGCTCTTGGGAAGTTGTGGAAGGTGATCCTGCATTGCCACTCTTAAATGCCACACTTCACCTCAAGGCTGCCGTCTCCATGTGTTCTGTGACTTTCAATTGCATTGTCATGGATGTACAAGGCAGTTTATAGTTCAGCTGTGGAAAAAATGCCCAAAAACCACCCCATTTGTCACCAGTTCAGCTCCAGCCTGCTAGTTCTGGCTGCAGTTTTAAACAAGCTTTCATCAAACCTCAGCTCTGTCTAAAAATTGATTAAAGAAGTGAAGGAATATATTAAAAAAAAAATACACGACTTATATATACTCACCTACCTACTGCAGCATTGATCAAATGCTGCAGCTGTCCCTCACCACCCTTAAGCCTGAGAACTGAGTGATCATATGAACGCTGATCGCTTAGTTCTTGAGTCTGCTCTGAACACAGAGCAGTGACTGTCAATCATCGCTCTGTACTCTCCCCTCCAGAATTCACTGGAATGCCTTGCAGGAGAGGGAGTGGCTGGCTTAGGCTATCAACAGCATTCTGAGAGGCTGCGCCATCTTCTAGTCTGCAATCTGAGTGAATCCCAACATTACTGTTGGGATCCCACCAGAGTCTGGAGCAACTCTATGACCTCAGCTGACAGCAGGCTGTAGCCTGTTGTTGGCTGCTTCTTGGTCAGAGGAGAGCACAAGTAAGTGCACTCCTCTGATCCACATGAGAAGAATGAACAAAAGAGCTTTGGCCATCCTTCTCTTTTAAAGCCAACTAAAACCTGAGGCTCAATTAGACAAGCTGTGATGATCATTATTTTTACCAGTGAGAGCTTAAAAGAAAAAAAAAAGGATTGCTATTCCAAATAATACATGTGGTATAGACTGTGAACTAAACTTCTTGATTAAATTAGTTGTCAGCTCTCCATTAATACATGTATTTAAAATTCCCAAACAGGAGCTGAAGAAGGCTTTTAGGGTTTTATAAAAAGTTGCAGCAGTAACTTGCTACAAGACCAACAGGTAAAAACAGAGCAAGTTCATTTTCCAGGTATCAACCCCATGAAACAAGTGGGAAATCTGCATGCAATGAGAAGCATTTATCGCCCCCTAGAGGAACCCTGAAACATTACAGCACCAGGTACGTCATAGCTGCTCTGCGTGGGAGATGATAGGTAAACAATTGGACATGTACAACTTACCACTTTCAGAGTATACTCTGCCAAGGCTTTGAGATGTCTTGTTGAGGTTCCTCCAACAATAACAAAATATTCAGCATATTTCATCTCTAGAGGAAGTTTGATGACACACAGATCTTTGGCATTTTCTTGCTGCAATAATTTCACCAGTACTTTGATGTTAAACTCTGGCAGATCCTCAGCTGAAATTTAAAGTACCAAAATGCATATGAATTACTGTATAGACACGGATTGGGACAAAAGCATCTAGAAGGAAATGCCAGTCATGGAGCTTGCCTCTTTCAAGGCGACAGGCTACAGTAACTCATTCATATGGACTCTAATGGGGGTGCTCAGTGAACATTCTTTTTGCACCCCAAGCATCCATCTCCCCATGCACTCGATGGGATGTCTCCAACAAGTCTGGCTGAAAACCATTGCTGAATGTCTATTAACTATCCCTGCTCCCCTTCTCTACTAGGACAGCATTAATTGTAAAATTTGATTGGCTATCACAGAGATCACTCTACAAAACCCTCCCCTGTACTTTCTTTATATTTATGAATTTAATGACACGTTGAGGGGAATTTATCAGAACAAACAGCTGTGCATGGCAACCACTTTCCTTTTCAAACCTTAAAGTGCAAGTTCACCACCTTCAGCCACATTTTCAAATAATCCCTCTAATTCCATATCGTCTGAATAATACATAACAGCGTCCTCCAATTTCAAATGCTGCACCTCCTCCTATTACACGTTTGAAACAGAGGGAACACTGGTATGTCCTACTTTACACATACACCTTAATTGCACAAGCTAAAGCTAGTTTTGATAAATACCCCCCCCCCCCCCCAGCTATACCTTTTTCTCCTAGCCAGAAGAGAAGGTGGCACAGGCAGACAGTTGACTGCCTGCAGTAGCTTGGCATTACACCCACAATCTGATCACTGATGCAATGCCTAAAGTGGGGTACACACTGAGAAAAATCACACGAACAGTCGTCCATGTTTCCATAAAGGTGCATATCATGATGTAACCAACAATGGTACTGATGTGTACAAAAATTCTCTAACAACAAAGGCAAATGTTCTGTCTTGTGTAGGATTTCTATGCTTGTTGTCACCTTCGTCCAGGTCTTTCCTTGCTTTCTGATCATGCACGTTTTTCTCCATCCAATTATTTCCACGAAATTACTGTACACATTGAGCAAAAATTGGGCATTGTGCTCATGTACGATAAACATTTTCTAGCTTGCAAGTCTGATCAGTCAGAATCAGCTGTCTAAAGCACTATAGTAATGGTCAGATAATTATTGACTGATTGTTCATCGTATGGAATTTTTCTTTCCAGTGCAAGAATAAATAATAAATGCACACTTTTTTTTACCTGCAAAAGGGTGTACATTTATTTTATTTTTATAAAAAATGAATGTATCCTTTAAAGGCATTGATCTCCAAACTGTGGCCCTTTCCTTGCCCTTGGGGCACCATGCCTCCCATTGAGATCAACTATGGGGAATTACTGATACCAATGATGGGGCACTATTCCTCCCAGTGACAACAATAGGGCACAATTCCTCCAATACCAATGATGGGTCACTATTCCCACTCCTACTGACAGGAGATGTTTATCTCTTTTTTTTTTTTTTTTAACTCCCACTGACCACTAAATCAGAGAAATTGTTTTACTCCCACTGACGTTAGAGCATTTTATACTCCTGGGGGTCCACAGTTCGGCCCCCCTAATCTCTAAAGCACAATAAATTGGCTCTTTGTTTACAAACTTTGGAGACCCCTGCTGTAAAGTGGTGTGACCCTCTAACATGAAATATAACACTCCTGACACCAAGAGAAAAAGGTGACAGGTGAGGGAGCTCCAGCACATAGCCTGTGATTGACCGTCTCAGTTCTGTTCCTGTGTGCTGGGGGGTGAGTCCCTTCCCCAAAGCTGCGGGAAGCCAGATGTAACTTCTTGGTGTTTCATGGCCAGCTCCCCACTGCGCATTTGTGAGATCACACTGCACTTTTACACTGCTCCCACAGCTTCCTGGGACATGTTACATATCCCCGGAGGCCGTGGGTGGGGAGGGGGCAGGCCAAACTTCTGTAATTCCCACCTTGGTGATAAATGCAGACGAGGAGGTGGGGACCTGTCAGAAAAAGACAGACAAAAATGCCAATATTTATGCTGCAGTAGTGGGAGAGGAAGAGGAATTTTCATTTTTTAATTGAAGTTCCACTTTAAATGTACAGAGGAAGGTGGCAGTGAAGCAGTCAATGTACTGGTCACATACAGTAGCAGGGTGAAGATGAAGGGGCTAATGTTTAGGTGTGCAGGATAAGGGAGGGTTACAATATTGGTCACATGAAAATAGTATGTGTGGGAGAGAAGGAAGGAATGAAATCCCACCTATCGCCATGTGACTGAAACACAATGAATCTGCAGCCGCTGATCCTCCTTCCCCTATTACAATCATTATGATCTCTGTCCTTCCTCTGCTGTAAAGGGAAGGGGAGGGCTCAGCACTGAAAACAGTGCCATGTGCTCACTGTGATGACCAATCATAGCAATCACATGGTACCCAGCCCCTTGGATTGGCCTGGTACGCTGTCTGTATGGAGACGTCTAATGACAGCACTGTACACCAGTGATTACTGAACGGATCGGCTACCTGATGACTACTTGTCCTGTGCTGTTCACAAACTGTGCTGAGCAAGTAGAGGGGTGCCAATCGACTGATGAAAGCTGTACAGAGATAGAAAGGTTCCACTGTAAAGGCAGCAGATTGGGGGGGGGGGGGGGGGGGTACACATGCCATGGCAGGAAATAAATCCATTCAATTGAATGTGGCCAACCCACAACCGTGAGCAAGGAACACAGTCATGGTGGGGTGGGCAGTATTTATGGGGTTAAAACAGGCTGTATGGAGGCAACATATTAGCAGACAGCTTTTCAGAGGCTGGGCAGTCACATATGTACACGTGGCCTTAGTCGGCCATCACTTACTCTTTCATCCATCTGTAGCCAAGGCTTTTTATTGTATTTTACAGAGTGGCAAGGCTCAGGAACCCATCAGGCTTTTATTGCTGCCAGTTCACCCTCCTTGGCTCAGTGTCTGCCATCAACATGAAAGTGACAACAAAAAACAAAGCTTTACGGTTGTCACCAGAACAGGAAAAGGAGGGAAATCTTTCAATGGGGACACCTAGCTTGAAGGGAACTTCCTGTTTTGCTCCTTGGACGTGATTTAAAGGGACATCTCCTTAATGGGACACAGACAGCAATAAAAACCCTAACCTTCACCGAATCTACCCAATATACTTCATAAGTCCAACACAGGCTGCAGGGAGGGCGGGTGTACCTCCATTCTCCTCCTCCTTCCAGTCACTGGACGGTCCGGCTGCCTCTGAGCTCGGTGTATACTGATCCCAGGTGCTGTACGGACAGATCCTCGGCAGGACACAGGCTCTCCTCCTGGTCACGGCGGAGGTCCGATATCCGGTACATACAGACCCTACAGCTGAGGACAGGCTAGGCACACAGCGTAGCACCGTTCGGGCCCACATGTCGCCTGTCTTCCGCTCACCGTGACCTTGACGCAAACGAAGAATGCCACCCGCTGATTGGTCACTAGGACGCCAGAGCGAGAGCTAGGATTGGCCGAGCTGTGTCTAGGCATAGGGGCGTGGTCGGTAGAGGCAGCCACGCGGTAGAGGGACACAGGACTGCACCGGAAGTGGTTTGTCTCCCGGATGTAGTGACTACCGGTTGGCACGCTGTGCTGTCTCGTGCTTGGTGATGCCGGGGGATAGTCGGCGTGTGCGGGGCCCGGAGGACGGCTCTCAGAGCCCGGCGCTGTACGCTGTGAAGGAGGAAGGGAGGGGGGCTGCGGGTTGGTCGGGGCCCGGCGGAGCAGCGCGGGGTCTTTGTTCGGGCCGGTTTCCTGAGCCAGGCGGTGGGCTCAGCCTATGTGGAGGTGGCGGAGGGCAGTAAGGTGCTGAGTGGAGTGTGGTGGGGGTCCGGAGAGGGCCGGCTGAACTGTGACCTGCGCTGGGCCCGTTTCTCCTCCCCCTCAGCGGGCACACAGCGGAGGGGCGGCGGGGCTCTTCTACTGCAGCAGAGTCTGGAGGCCGCGGTGCGGATGGACCGATACCCCCGGGCCGAGCTCGTGGTGTCTGTGCTGGTCCTGGAGGATCGGGGCTCCGCACTGTCTCTGGCCATCACCTCTGCCGCACTGGCCCTGGCCGATGCCGGCATAGAGATGTACGACCTGGTGGTCGGGGCCGCCGCCTCCAGGGGAGACAACGGGGACATTGTGCTGGACCCCACCGAGGGCGAGGAGGATTCCGCCGCCAATATGTGCCTCGCCATCATGCCCACCCTCAACCAGGTGTGTACCGGAGATAGCGGACTGCATGTAATAGAGGCATGAAGTGCTGGGTACCTCATCACCTCTCAACCAGGGCTGTCCTGGCGATTCCGGGCTCAGTCACCAATGCTGATTGTTTGTGAGATTTGTGGGCTTTTAGTAATATCACATGCAGTACGTAAAATGTTAACCCAACATGTTGAATTTGAGGTCAATATCACAAGAAAAGGTAGACAAATCATTAGACTAGGTGTAGTCAACCTCTGAGAGGGCGAGATCTACCTGAGCAACATAAAACAAACTGAAGATCACCAGGACTTGGCGCCTTTTTAAAAAAATAAATAAATAAAAGAAATGTGGACTTAAAAAAAAAAAAACAAATCCTTCCCTAGTTGGATGGTGCGTCAATCCAATGCTGCATCTGTCCCCCTCTGGATCTGCAGTGAGGACCTAGCAATCAAACACTGCTGATCGCTGAGTTCTCCTGTCTGCTCTGCCTCTCCGGTGCTCACTGGAGCTCTGGGCTGTAGAGGGGGTGGGATCAGCTGGCACAGGTTCTCTGTTGATTGCTGAGAGGCTCAGCCAGGTGCTATTCCAGGCTTCTGGGTGGATCCCAACCATAAGCTCTGGATCCTTTCAAGGCCAGGACCAGCTGATGTCAGCCAATAGCAGATGTTAGCCTGCTGTCCTCTCTAAAAAAAAAAAAAAAAAAAAAAAAAAAAAAAAAAAAAAAAACGACACAGGAGTGTAGAATGAACTGCACTCTTGTGATCCATAGGAGGAGAACAGCCAAAAGAGCTTTGGATATGCTTCTTTAACTAGCAAGTCTTACCTAAATAGGAAAACTTAGCCAAATATAATAAACAAACTTCACTGTAAAATTATAAACTTGGCGTACCTTAAAAAGTGGACATTGTCAGTCAGTAGAGCAGTGAATAGTCTGTAGTTTTTTTATTTTTACTATTTTATTTATTACAGTGTTTTAAAAAGCCTTGTTTGGAGGCTTTGGTGAAATATCGGGTCTAAATAAACCTTGATGTCTCACTTTTTAGACAGAGAAAGGTACTGAGGACAGAGATTCTCCAGTCTTTCTCCGCAGCCTCAGCTGCACTGGACAGTGAATGAATGGGAAGTGCTCTGTGCTGAGCAGCTTCCTGCTCATTCACAAACTGAAGCATAGTAAACAAAATGTACGATGTTTCAGTTATGAATGAACACAGAGTGATCAGTACTGCTCACTCACTGTGTTTAAAATGATAAGGCCGGTAAATGCCATATTTACTGGTCTCTTCCCCTGCTATCCATCTTTAAAAGATCCCCTCCAGCAGCCAATGGGAGAAAAGGGGAGCCAGCAGTGCCCCGTTTCATATTTCTGTAAGATCCATTATCCAAGGAGGAAAAAAATATGGGTTAGTTCAGATAGGAACTTACACCTGTTCTGCATGCAGGCTTCCTTTGTCTTTGAGCCTGCTTTGTCCCTAGGCTGCATGTGGGCAGCCTGTAGTGGTGAAAGCAGCAGCTGTATGAACACAGTCATATACCAAAATTTTACATGCGGGTAGGAGCCTAATCCATACTGTCTGCATTCAGATCTGTGTACACGCTTCTGCCTACACGGTAAATTTTGATATGCTGCTGTATCCATGCATCATCTGCATCCACCTCTGTAGACTGCCTGCACACAGCATAGGGTGGATGTGGGTGCAATAACAAAGAAAGCTTGCCCGCAGGATCGGGTGTTGGTGCCTGTATGAACAAAGTGTATAAAAGAAAGAATGGACAGAATAGAAAAAATAAGATGGCGTGAAAGAAATAAACCCTCTAAATCAGTAGTTTACAAACTGCGGCCTTTTACTTGTATCCAGCCCTTTGAGGCATTATTCCTGCCACTGACTAACAATAGAGCATAATGCCTGCTACTGACACAAACAATGGGGCACTATTCCTCCTTCTGGCATCAACTATTTCTCCCCCTAATACCAAAGGTAGGGCATTGTTTATGCAGGCCATAGATGGGGAGAAAAACGGCAGATTTTTCTTTTAAAAAACGAAAATTCGGTCGTTCAAGCGGCCGACGTTGCCATCAATGGTAAAAAAAATCGGCCGATTTTCATCCCTTCTACAGCCAGCAAAAAGTGTCCCTGAAGAGAGCTCTGCTATTTCTGACAGTTCCTTGACATTTACAGCGGTTGAAACATTGTATCTATTTATTTCCATTTAGGATACAGATGTTTTTATTCGGAAACAAATAGATACAATGTTTCAACCGCTGTAAATGTCAAGGAACTGTCAGAGAACTGTCAGAAATAGCGGAGCTCTCTGCAGAGACACTTTTTGCTGGACTGGAATTATTCTTATTTTCATCCTACTTCTTCTTCTTCATCCTCATCCTCTTCTTCTTCTTCTTCATCCTCTTCTTCTTCTTTCTTCATCCTCTTCTTCTTCTTCTTCATCCTCATCCTTCTTCTTCTTCTTCATCCTCTTCTTCTTCTTCATCCTCTTCTTCTTCTTCATCCTCATCCTCTTCTTCATCCTCATCTTCTTCTTCTTCATCCTCATCCTCTTCTTCTTCCTCATCCTCTTCTTCATCTTCATCCTCATCCTCTTCTTCTTCATCATCATCATCCTCTTCTTCTTCATCCTCTTCTTCTTCATCCTCTTCTTCTTCATCCTCTTCTTCTTCCTCCTCTTCTTCTTCCTCCTCTTCTTCCTCTTCTTCTTCATCCTCATCCTCTTCTTCTTCTTCTTCATCCTCTTCTTCTTCATCATCCTCTTCTTCTTCATCATCCTCTTCTTCTTCATCATCCTCTTCTTCTTCTTCATCCTCTTCTTCTTCTTCATCATCCTCATCCTCTTCTTCATCATCCTCATCCTCTTCTTCTTTTTCATCATCATCCTCTTCATCATCCTCATCCTCTTCTTCATCCTCATCCTCTTATTCATCCTCATCCTCTTCTTCATCATCCTCATCCTCTTCTTCGTCTTCTTCATCCTCATCCTCTTCTTCTTCATCCTCATCCTCTTCTTCTTCTACTTCATCCTCATCTTCTTCTTCTTCATCCTCATCCTCTTCTTCTTCATCCTCATCCTCTTCTTCTTCTTCATCCTCATCCTCTTCTTCTTCTTCTTCATCCTCTTCTTCATCCTCATCCTCTTCTTCATCCTCATCTTCTTCTTCATCCTCATCCTCTTCTTCATCCTCATCCTCTTCTTCATCCTCATCCTCTTCTTCATCCTCATCCTCTTCTTCATCCTCATCCTCTTCTTCATCCTCATCCTCTTCTTCATCCTCATCCTCTTCTTCATCATCATCATCCTCTTCTTCTTCTTCTTCTTCTTCTTCCTCATCTTCTTCTTCATCCTCTTCTTCCTCCTCCTCTTCTTCTTCCTCCTCTTCTTCATCCTCACCCTCTTCTTCTTCTTCATCATCCTCACCCTCTTCTTCTTCTTCATCATCCTCACCCTCTTCTTCTTCTTCATCATCCTCACCCTCTTCTTCTTCTTCATCATCCTCACCCTCTTCTTCTTCTTCATCATCCTCTTCTTCTTCTTCTTCTTCTTCATCATCCTCTTCTTCTTCTTCTTCTTCTTCTTCATCATCCTCTTCTTCTTCATCATCTCATCATCCTCTTCTTCTTCTTCTTCATCATCCTCTTCTTCTTCTTCATCATCCTCCTCCTCCTCTTCATCCTCATCCTCTTCATCATCCTCATCTCTCTTCATCATCCTCATCCTCTTCTTCATCCTCATCCTCTTCTTCATCCTCATCCTCTTCTTCATCCTCATCCTCTTCTTCATCATCATCCTCATCCTCTTCTTCGTCTTCCTCATCCTCTTCTTCTTCATCCTCATCCTCTTCTTCTTCATCCTCTTCTTCATCCTCTTCCTCTTCTTCTTCTTTTTGTCTTCCTCTTGCAGGTCACTGCTCATGCGCAGTTTTTTTATCGGTAAAAAATCGGCCGATTCGCCCACTAATTGCCGCGAAAATCGGCCGATCGGCAAAATCGGCCGATTTTTTTCCAACTTTACCGAAAAAAAACGGCCAAAATACCGAAAAACGGCCGACCAAATCGCCCACTAACGATCCGAAAATCGGCCGATTTTATTTTCGGCCGAAAAATCGGCCGATTTTCGACCCATCTATGGCCTGCATTACTCCCATTGGGCACAGCTGGCCCCCCTAACGTTTAAAGGACAGTAAACTGGTCTTTTGTTTGGAAAGTTTGGAGACCCCTGTCCTAGAATACAGTATAAAGAAGATTTGGCCTGAATACATACCTAGGTTAGGAAAACAGATTACCCTACTCTACAATAAATGTGAAAGCTGTAGGTTGGGTACCGGTGATTTAGATGTTAGAATAAAGAGCACAGAACTATTGTGTGACACCTTCATTAAACATTATTAAAGTAGAAACTACCGGTACTCGCAAATGCGTTTTGTTATATAAACAACATCCAGGAAGAGACCTGCTCAGCCATCAGTGCACAGAAGAAATTCCCCAAAGTAAATCTTGTCATAGTGTGAATCACCACTGACCGAGCTTTGCACTCTTTTTCATAAAGGTGTCACACAAAGTTTCTGTGCTTTTTTTGTACTATAGTGTTTTATAAAGATTCCCTGTCTGGAGGTAGCAGCAATGGCGAGGATACTGAGTAATACATTTACAACAACAAAAAAGAACATTTATCTGGAAAGACATATTCCAAAGTTTACCTGCTGCAGTAATGTATCCCTTCTTTCTTCCTGAGTGCTGACTGTATCTACATGCCTGTACCAGGGATTTAACATTTAATTGTATATTACTGAAAAGGCATGAGGTGCTGTATGCCCCTTTGCAATCCACAATCAGTTATGTAATATAGGGGAGGCATGGAGTGCTCTGTGACTTAGTCATCTCCAACATCAGTCAGGTGTGTCTACTGTACCATATATAATTAATATACTGTATACTAATGTAGGAAATGCATGAGCTGTGTTCCTCATCCTCCTTTCTACCGTCATGTTTGATATACGTCATACATGTGCAATTTACTTTGGGTCACCCACCACCTCTGATAAGCAACACAATTAAGTACAGCAAATGACCAGAATCTGTCCTTGTTTACACAGGTTTCAGGTCTCCTCTGCACTGGAGAATGGGAAGGAGACAGCCCAGTGGAAGCCATGAAACTTTGTATGGAGGGATGTCAGCGTCTCTACCCAGTGCTACAGCAAAGCCTCCTCAAATCTACTAAGAAAAAAGTTCCGGCACCAGTGCCTGATGCCAGCTAGCCAAGCTGAGATTGCCAAAATCTAGCTGGTCTCTGGCTCCTCACCTCATCACAGCACCAGGACTGAGCTCTCTATATTTGCGTCTTGATAATGTGACATCACCAGGATCCAGACTGATGTCAGGAAATGTGTCATTAGCAACATGTCCATCTCGCCATACAGAGCTTTTATTGGTTGGTGGAGATTCTACTACTGATTAACCAGTCCTGACTGACGTCAGTTACAAATGTTCAGCTATCTGATGTCAACAAGATACGTGTACTTCTGAGTAGCTTCTCACACCACCTGTGGTTGCACCTTGTCATCAGGATCGAGATCTGAGTCATACAATTTGGAACATACTGTTTGTGGCTGTGGTAAGCGTGGATCATCGTACCCAACATACACCAGTCTGAATGTACTGACGTAGCTCCACCTTTGAGGAGTCAGCAGGGATGTGTGAGGAGGAGACTTCTACAGTCACCCATTCTAGTGCTGACCCCATGTTGTCCTGTCTCCCTTCTGATCTGATTTCTGTGAAATTGTTTTTCAGTAGTTGAAAGAGAAACTTTGTTCCAAACATGTTTACCAGTTGAGAAGTGGATCCAAAAATAAATGTTTATATTTTCCTTACACTTCTTTCCAATGATACTTATTTATGATGCTATCTTTAACTTCTGTTTCTCAATGATTTAACTCTTTTGCTGCTAGATCAATTTTTTGCATATGTAAAAATGCACATTTTAGGCCTGAAGATTAGTTAAAACCCACACCATGTTTCCTGAGAGCACAGACTGGAGAATAAAATGGTGTTAATTTTAACCACTTGCTGACCGACTACATATACAAATTTCCTGTGAGCAAGTGGTCATTCCATGATCTTGTTATTGTTTTTTCAGCCTGCCATTGGCTGATTTACAAAAGTGAACCAGATGGCTTTACAGGCACCCGATCACTTTAACAGCTCTGTGTAGGGCTGTCCGTGGTGATTCCCAGGCTCCTCTGGTTCTCCAGACAGCCAAGGAACCAGTTAGTGGCCAGGACAGCTTCACACAGAGGAGATGGAGGAACATTCATTCCCCCGTCTTCTTTGTGATTAATTAACCTGGAAGCGACAATGATTTTGTCAATTCTGTTTCAGAGCTGTCAGTCCCTGGATGTTACATAGTTGGTAAGTTGAATAAAGACATCAGTCCACATCCAGTTCAATTTGTGATATTGTGTGTGTGTTTATATCACAAACCTTTCCCATACTCCTGTATATTGTATTTACTAAGATGCCCATCTAAAGAATTTTTTTTAAATTGACACTCTCCACACCTATCTCACACCACCAACTATGGAAGTGAATTCCACATCCTTACTGCTCAAACAAAGCACCTCCTACACAATTTGCAAGTAAACCACTTCTCATCCAACCTCATTGAGTAGCTGCTTGTCTTTTTAAGCGACCTGAAACTGAATAGTTTTCTCCTTATGTGAGAATCAAAATTTAGATACTTGCAAATTGCTATCATATCTCCTCTCTAAGGAGAATAAGTTTAATGATTTGTAGTCACTCCTCACAGGTTTTCCAGTCCCTTTTTGTTAACTTTGTTGTCCTCCTCTTGACTCACTCCAGCACATCCCTTCTGAGAATTGGTGACCAGAATTGGATAGCACATTCCAGGTGTGGCCGAACCAGAGTTTTTGAAAGTAGTAGAATTATAGTTGCCAGTGCGGCAGCTAACCAAGCACGATCTCTGCTTGGTTAGCTGCTTTGGACGGTAGGGTCAAGAGTGGGAGCAATAATTCTGGGGCTATAATTCATGATTAACTCTACACTGATAACCTGTAAAGGCTCTTAAAGCATCATCTATGGACCATTTTAGGTACCGTAGTTTGTCAGCATTTCACAGAAGTGCACAGTTTTGAATCTTGGCAGTATGGTATCTAGTTGATGCAACTTCATCTTTTATATTTTCCCAACAATTGCATATTTTACTGTGTTCACTAAAATTCATTTTAGTGTATTTTTCCTTAAAAGTTGCATTTGTTAAATAGCTGTGCAAATATTATGCAACATAAAAAATTGCAAAAGCTACCATTTTATTTTCCAGTTGACCTTTCAGAAAATATGTAATGGGTGGAAGTTTTAAGCAATTTCCTAGAACAAAAAATTCAGATTTTAGCGTGTGTGAAAAGTTGTTTCCCCAGACAGCAAGTGGTTAATTTTAATGTCACTTAAGCTCATCGGTTTATCCAATGCATTCCTTTCAGTACACAATACATTGTTTGTTTTACTGAATACAAATGCAACATATTACCCTATTGTATGGTAAAATATAAAAGATTATATTCCTTTGAGTAAATAGATACCCAGCATGTCAAGCCTTAAAGTGCATGCACCCCTAAAGAAGTGACAAACTTCAGTACACAATATTATGCATAGGTGGCACTTTGAAATTCCTTACAGGTCATCAGTTTAGAGTTAATTACAAATGATGGCTATAGCAGTTTTCATACGTATGTGCTCCTGACGCATGCATTTATGTTCACGTGTGTGACTCAAAAAATATATATTTTTTTTGGGAAGTGGTGGGGTATGTGTGCAGGCGTAATCTTTTTTTTTTTTTTCTCTTAACATCAGGTGCTGACAAGACAAATCGGGAATATTCCCTTAGCTTAGTGAATGTGGCAAATAAAGAAATTGCAGTCAGATACTACTCCCCTTTATTTCAGAGCTGTGTAGATCTCACCTCAGAGACTTTCATGTTCTGTTTACCTGTCATGAGACTGGCAATATCCTTTCTTCAGTTGACAAACATGGGTAAAGGAGGTACTTAGCCTTGGTGCACTCTTGCTGTACCTGCACTACCTGTTTCCTTTTGGAGTTTTTTGTTTATACTAAAGTTAAAAAAAAACATGCTTGTATTAGGTTAGTGACTCTTGATTAGGGTGATGGGCTGTTGGTTGTAAGAAGCCAGTGAGTGAATCCAGCATTACTATGATGGTCCTTCTGACGCTTGCAGTTTGTCAGTGACTTGTGAGTAAATCCAGAATCAAATTGAGCCCTGAGTTTCCACCTTTAAAAGCCAAGTCAGTAATGGATTCTTCCATGGGAATCATCACAGGTTCCCTTTAAAGCTGATCTCCATATTTTGATATACTTCAGGGATGTACAATTCATATCGCCCGACACCCAGGACATGTAGGTTTTTTTTTTTTTTGCCTTTAGCCCTGCTGCAGGCAAGCAGCAGGGGTCACCTGTCAGGTGGAAGCATTGGGGTGGCAGCGCTGTCAGCCGATTGCTTCCACAGTGCCAGCTGCCGCCCACTATATGTCCCAGGCTCCGCTTGCTCATCTACAGGCATGTGTTGCGTATTGCTGCGCATGCCAGAATGAGAGCAATAATTCTGTGCCCTAAAATTAACTTGTGTATTTTTTACTAAAATTTGGGGTTTCCTAGACCTTTGTGATAATATCGTCTGACATAAAAAATTGGAACTACCACTATTTTATTTTCTAGGGTTTCTGCTTTCAGAAAATATTTCATGTTTGGGGTTTCTGTGTAATGTTCAGGCCTTAAATTATTTTTTAAATGTGTGTAAAAATGGCTCTGGCAGAGAAAGGATAAGTCTGACACGCCCCTTTCCTGACCAGCAGCTAATCAGTGCTCATTACACTGCCAGGGGTATCCCCCCTCCCTGCTGGTCCACAGCTGCGGTGCTGGAGACAGGCAGGGAGGGGAGGAGGAGGAGATAATCGGGGCAATGTTAAAATTATTAAATGTTTAAGTCGTCATAAAAGCCCCTTTTGTTTTTGAAAACCCCAGACATCCTATAAATCACCTCAGATTTCAATACGGTTTTGGTTAAAAAAAAAAAAAAAAAATTTTCATCAGGACAAGTAGAGTGGGACACAGATTTAGTCCCTGGACAAGTAGTTTTTTTTTAAAAAAAATGTCCACACCTCTGTACTTTACATAGTTCATTTGGGCCAGCTTGATAGCTTCCGGCAGGATAATGCATCATGTCACAGAGCTCAAATCATCTCAAACTTGTTTCTTAAACATGACAATGAGTTCAATGTACTCCACAGTCACCAGATTCAATCGAATAGAGTCCCTTTGGGATGTGATGGAAGGGGAAATTCACATCATGGCTGTGCAAATCCTTCATAAGTCATAAGTGACAAACACATGTGCCCAAATTTGCATTGAAATTATCCAAAATTAAACATATGTCCATCAAAAACATTAAGTTCCAAATTCATCATAAATCACTTCTACATCCACGTGGTGAACTTGCTGTATGCGGTGTTTGAAATTCACCATACGATATTCAACAAACAGTTTTTAGAGTGAATTGTGCCTTTAATACTGCTGTGCTTCATGCGCTATTCAAATCTAACCGAAGTGCAATAGTGTCCCTCTTCAGTGTCCACACACCCCTGACACACTATCGCGCTCACCTTAATGTCTGACGTGTATCCCAGGTCAAACTGCGCTTTACCCTTGTGACAGGGTAGGTATATAGATGTAACTGCTCTTCCACTGTCAGGTATATTACTGCTCTTCCACCGTCCGCTTACTATCTCCTCCAACTCCACTCCATACATATGAAAAATATACTCCTAGTGTAATATTGTAAATAAAACACCTTTATTAAAATACAAAAATTTGCACTCACATTTGATGGTGTCAAACTGGGACACTGCAGGATAAACTCTTGTGTGTTTGAATGCCGTTTTCCTATACCAAGATGGCGGCCCGTGTGCTTCCTGTATTGTGGCTTGACGTTACCAGCGTACTCTATGCGTTACGTCACGTCGTGACTTCTTCAGGAGTAGCTGATTGGGTGTCAAGCCTTCTTATATAGTCCTCTGTAAATTATAATTGAAATCCTAAGTGATCAAGTGCTATTTTGCTGTGGACCAGCCCCGGGGGCCATTTTCTAGTGGATTTAGTACAATGCTAACCTATAGGTAAAGCATTGTGCACCAGTCTCCGGTTCTGGCGGCCATTTTCTGGTGGACTTAAT